GCTGAAGAGGGTTTTTCAATTCTGAACTTCTCCCAATAATACTGGGACATTTTTCCAAAACCACAGATTCTTTCTCCCGAAAACTATCCTCCCGGACTCTGTTACACTGCTGGTCTGAATCACTGCAGAATTCTCTCAGTCTGTCTAGAGTCTGCAAACATATACGGGGCTTTTCACACTTCTGAGGTTCTTCTTCAGTAAAAATACACAACAAAAACATATTAGCAACTTATTTTCTAAAACAGGACATCTATTAGAATGACATCAGTAAGAATGCAATCATTTTTCTCTGTCTCTCTCTTCCCTACATTCCTTCTCCTCTTCCACTGCAGTATTTCTGCCAGTCTGACAAAACCGTGAATGTAATCAGCTTGGTTATCTTCCCTGGAAAATCAGTACTCCTCACTTCTATGCTTCTTCATACATGGGAAAAGAAGCACAATTATTTTCTGGACTGATAACTGCAAAGCTACAAAATTAGCTAGGAATATTGGAAGACAAGTGGTATTTTTTCAGTACAGTTTTTAAGCAGACGGTGTTGCTAGTTGACAGGGTCTTAATGATACTTCAAACCATCACGCCCACAAAACTGAATATAATTCCCTCTTTAAAAAAATTATAGAGGTCAATTCTTTTCAATGAAATGTAAGTGTAATGAGCTTTATAATCACTGATTTGCTTTTCTACTAGCATCACTAATTTGTTAAATTCTTGGTTCAAATCCAGATGGAGCACAGGCATTTTCAATGTAATTAAGTGGCTGTCAGTTCACAGTTAAGAGCGCTGCATTACAACTATTTACTTTGATGTAGCCTTTAGGTATCCCAGTCACTGGCCAGACCTTACAGAGCTTCCAGGTGTCCGTCATGCTTCAGCCTCAGACTGTTAAACCAACATACAAAAGGAAGTTGCAGCATTTCTTCCTGGGCATCTGGACTCTACTGACTGAACCACCTGTTAACACTGAGTCAGCTGAAGGGGATTTGCAGAGTAATTCTGGAGTGAGGCTCAAATACCTAGCTTCTGAGCCACAGAAAGGTGCTTTAACCATATAGCTAGTATGCTCATAATGGCTCTTCGGAGATATATCTTACACTCAGGAGACACTTCCCTGAAGTATCCACCAACTAAGTTTTTAATTGTCCAATGTAAAAATATATTTATTGGGTAAAAATGCTTGAATGTTTCTTCGCAGTCAACTCACTTTTATCCTGAGTCTTCAGTGGGTTACAGATGTCTTCTAGAGTAATTTGTCGTGTCTTGGTTTTCTTTTCAGAGGGTTCATTGCTTTCAGTTGATGTTCTCCTTTTTGTGCCCAATTCAGAAGCCTGAAACATAAATTAAGCAAAGTTCACTTACTTTTTCTCTTTGCCATCCTCTATGAAAGACAATAATGCACCTAAGAATTTCATAAAGATAATACAAAATGCAAAATTAATTTACAGTACATGAAATCCCTAACTACTTTACCTATCTACATTTTTTGTTTATAACATAGTTCTTTTAACAATCAAGGCTACAAGAGGAAGAGGAACAGCACATTCTGCAAACAAGTTGGCTGTTATGCTAGAATCACAGAATGGTAAGGGTTGGAGGGGACCTCTGGAAATCATCTAGTCCAACAACCCTGCCAAAGCAGGGTCACCCAGATCAGGCTGGACAGGAACACATCCAGGTGGGTTTTGAAGTTCTCCAGAGAAGGAGACTCCACACCCTCTCTGGGCAGCCTGTTCCAGGGCTCTGTCACTCTCAAAAGTACAAGTTTTTCTGCATGTTTAGACGTAACTTCCTGTGTTGCGACTTGTGTCTGTTATCCCTTGTCCTGTCACCAGGCACCACTGAAAAAAGACCAACCCCATCCTCTTGACACCAGCCCTTTAGATATTGATAAGCACTGATAAGATCCCCTCTCAGTCTTCTCCAGGCTAAACAGACACAGGTCTCTCAGCCTTTCCTTATAAGAAAGGTGCTTCATTCCCTTGATCTTCTTTGTAGCCCTCTGCTGGAATCTTTCCAGTAGTTCCCTGTCCTTCTTGAACTGGAGAGCCCAGAACTGGACACAGTACTCCAAAGGGGGCCTCACCAGGGCAGAGTAGAGGGGCAAGATGACATCCCTTGACCTGCTGACCACACTCTTTTTAATGTGCCCCAGGAGACCATTGGCCTTCTTGGCCAGAAGGGCACATTGCTGCCTCACAGTCAACTTGTTGTCCACCAGGACTCCAAGGTCTTCTCTACAGAGCTACTCTCCAGCTGGTCAGTCTGTACCAGGGCATGGGATGCAGGACCCTACACTTGCCCTTGTTGAATTTCACCAGGTTGCTCACTGCCCAACTCCCTAGCCTGTCGAGGTCCCACTGAACCGCAGCATGGCCTTCTGGTGTGTCAGGCACCCCTTCCAGTTTTGTATCATCAGCAAACTTGCTGAGGGTACACTCTGTGCCCTCATACAGGTCATTGATGAATATATTGAACAGGACCAGACCTAGTGCTGACTCCTGAGGAACACCACTAGTCACAGGCCGCCAGCTGGATTCTGCACTGCTGATCACAACCCTCTGAGCTCTGCCACTCAGACAGTTCTCAATCCACCTCACTGTCCTCTCATCTAACACACACTTCCTAATACCTATGGGGATCCTATGGGAGACAGCGTCAAAAGCTTTGCTGAAGTCAAGGCAGACAAAAGAAACACCTGCAGCTACCATGACTTCGAAATGCACCTTGGAGCTACCTCTATGGCAGAGAATTGAAGTAGAACTTAACAGACTTTCCCAGCATACCACATGCTACCACCCTGTGTCTGAACCAGATCTCTTCTGCAAATCCTCATTCCCACAGTTAAGAGCCACCTTCTTGCCAGATACTGGCTTTGAGAGGCACAACTTCCTATGGCCTACATCCCAATGATGGAAGAACATCTATCTCTTCCACATTATCCAGGAAAGTAAATCCAGACTTCAAAGATTTTCTATCTGTAAAGACATAGCTGCCATCATCCTGGGTTTGCATAGAATACAGTACTTACAACTACTGCTCACTGGATGGCTTTTGGCACACACACTTTTAACACCTTGTAAACAGAAAATTCATCAGTTTATGTTGTTTCATCACTGATGTATTCTGTTTGACAGAATGCAACAAGTATGACCAAATATACAGTAACTTGCAACTGCAACAATGTTATAAACACACTACCATTTCACTTTGCAGGCAAACACAGAACAGGTGCTTTTAGCAGCTTGCATCCACATTTCATACGGTAATCTCAGATGGTTTAAGTGTATTACTGGAGAAATTCAATCTCCTTATAACTCCACCCTCAACAATTAATCCCATAACCTCTATATAATGTATCCATATGCACAACCCGCATGACTGGCAAAGAGTTCCCCTTCCAAGCCTACTATTATATACCACCAGATTAACACTAATTAGGAAGCAATATTTCTGCATGGACAGAAAAGAGTAATCACACCTTCCAAAATGTACTTGAACCAAAGATAACAAAAAAGATTGAATTGACACACTGGTGACAAAAGCATACACCTTCCCAGGGTCAGAAAGGGCTAGAAACATTAACTACAGGGAGACTGGAAAACATAAACTCAGAATGAAATCCAATTGCTGAGAGAAAGCAATTTTTTTTCCCAGCAGTGTCATGGGAGAGGCTGCTGGATCGCTGCACTAATTAATGCTCTCAGCCTTGCACTAACAGTAAACTAAGAGTCGTCCAAGCTCCATGATTTGGGCTGGGAGCTCAACCCATCACATGCCAGGAGGCAGAACTGTGCCAGAAGGTCCAGCACTACTGCAAGGGATCAAAGCTGTCACATCACAAACTAGCACACTGGCTTGGCCAAGCTCACTGTTTCCATGCCAAGCCTCAGTTCCTACCAAATGGGCCCATCCTGGCTGTTCCCTGGAAGACTAGATATCACAGAATCATAGAACTGTCTAGGTTGGAAGACACCTTTAAAATCATTGACCTAGCATTGAAAAAAAGCATCACTAAACTATATTGCTAAGCATCACATCTACCTGTCTTTTCACTACCTCCAGGTATCGCCAGGGATGGCAATTCCATCATTTCCCTAAGCAGCCTGTTCCAATACTTGATACCCTTCTGGTGTAATTTTTCCTAACACCCAATCTAAACCTGCCCTGACACAACTTCAGGCCATTTCCCTTCTCCTATCACCTGTTACTTGGGAGAAGACACTGACCCCCATCTCTCTAAAACCTCCTTTCAAGTAGTTGTAGAGAGCGATAAGGTCTCTCCTCAGTCTCCTTTTCTCCAGGTTGAACAACCCCAGCTCTCTCAGCCACTTCTCTTAAGACTGGTGATCCAGACCCCTCACCAGCTCCATCGTCCTTCTCTGGACCTTCTGCAGCACCTCAATGTCTTGTGACGGGCCCAAAACTAGACACAGTATTCAAAGCAGGGCCCTCACCAGTACCAAGTATCGATACCCTGTGTTTCACAAGGCAAAGATGCTACAGACACCATTGGTAACTGGAAGACCCTGCCTGCCCCACACGGGGCACCCCTTCCTGTAGCAGGGCCGTGGCCATCCTTTCCGACATGACTGGCTGACAGGGGGTAACACCAGACAGCCCCGAGGGCCCTCCACCACCACCACCACCATCACCACCGTTCCCTCAGGGCCTCTCCGGCCTGACCCGCGCCCTTCAGGCGCCCTGAGCCCCAACCGCCGCCGCCCCGGGGCGCACCGTCTGCCGGGCAGGGCCCTGCTCCCCGCCGCTCCCCGCCGCTCCGAAGAACCTGCTCAGCACCAGCTGCTGCCCCCCACCGCCACCGCCGCCGCCGCGTTCCCGCCGCTGCCCCCGCGGCATGGCGATAACGGCGGCGATAGCCGGACCACGGGCCCGCGGGCACCGGCACCACCTTCCTCCGCCGGATGCGACGGCGGAGCGCGGGGCGGAGCGGCGGGCGAAGAGTCCCCGCCTGCCGGTGCGGTCCCTCACGCCGTCCCGCCTCAGCCTTCCCACCGCCCCCTCGCGCCATCCCGCCCCGCCTCTGCAAAGTCCGGTGCGGCGGGTCGGCGGCGGCAGGCGTCATGGTGCGCTCGCTCAACTCCATCGTGGCTGTCTGCCAGAACATGGGCATCGGGAAGGACGGCAGCCTGCCCTGGCCGCCGCTGAGGTACGGCGGGTCTGGCCGGTCTTCTTCCCGCCGGGGCGGCGGGAACGTCGGCGGACTACAACTCCCAGCGTGCAGCGCGGTGGGCTCCCCGGGGCTGAGGCCGTGCGGGGCCGCGCGTTGCCCGCTGGGAGTTGTAGTCGGGGAGGGGCGATGCTCACCAGGGCGGGAAAGTGACCGCGGTGGCGGTCGGTGGGGCCACGGCCGGGGTTTTGGCTACCGGGCCCCGGCGCCGTGTCCGGGGGGCCTGAGGGACTCCGGGAGGCAGCGCTGTCAGGGTCCCGGCCGTGGGTTAGCTCTCCTCAGGCAGAACCGGGGCCAAAGGTCTCCCTTTCAGGCCGGGGCCCGACCAGCCTCTCCTCCCTGGGCGGCGGTGGCGCTCGCATTATGTTTTATTTTCTCAATTAGAGAAATGTAACTTGTTCCTAAACCACGTTGTAACGGTCTTCTCGTTTTCTTGCCAGGAACGAGTACAAGTACTTCCAGAGAATGACGAGCACATCCTATGTGGAAGGTAACGTCGTGCAGGTTGCTGAGGCAGTGCCTCGCCTCATGAAAATCCGTTTGTGTGGTGTCAGTCATGGAAAAGTGTGGTAATTTCACTTTTCCCTGACTTAAAAGCCTTGCTTCTGCAAACAGCCTGCCCTCCCCCACCTCCCCAAGCCTCACCAGGGTTTTACCCGTTTGCACATACCTCATCTGCAGTTTGTTCCAGTTTCGATAAAGAGACTGGAGGTGAATGGGATGTTTGTGGGCCCCAGGTGATTTGTGAATAAAAATTATTTCAAAGCGCTGTTTCCCTAACAGAGCAGAAGAGTTCACCTACCTGTGTCTTTACCAATAGCTCCACCCCTGAACAAATTAAAAATTAAAAGCTTTTTATATGCTGGTTAATTAGCCGAGGGTCTTTTTTTTTTTTTTTTTTTCAGGTCGTATTAGCTTATCTAACTTGTTTGCTGTAGCTCAGCCTTGGCCATTTGTTCTGTCCCTTTGACCTTTGTGACAGTAATTTTGCTTCGTTTTCCGAGTGTTGAGCCATCCTAATATGCCAGAAACCCCCGATTTTACTGATAATATGCAACAACAGTACTGCAGCCCTGTGCAGTCTGTCCACATGCAGCAACATGCAGCCGTGCAGGTAACATGCAGCAATCAGGCCTAGCGAGACCTTTGCAGCAAGGTAGTCTCAGGAACTCTGTTGTTTTGGTGAGATAAAACCAGTCATTGCTGGGTGAAAAAATTTGTGAAAATCCGCCCAAACAAATGGGATTAGGAATGGAAAAAAATCAACACAGCTAATTTGTTCTGACTGGGTATTTACCACAGCCAGAGGAGACAAGTCTGGCTTCGTTGGCCCCAGGCGTTTTTAACACTGACTTACGTGCTCGTTTATGTTTCCTTAAGCTATTTTAATTCTTTAATCCAGTAGCCTAGGCTGCTACTGGGTGTCTGTGAGGACTGCCAGTATAGGGTATGTGGCAGGAGCTGGAAGGAGGCATTGGGAGAGGAGGAATAAGACCTCCCTGAGCCATGCAATCAGTTCACTGTGCCTGTTGGAACCAGAGCAATGAGAGACAACAGGTTTCTCCTGCTTCTCTATTTGCCAACATGGCCACTCTCTTTCCTGAGTTCTCTTTTCATGCTCCTGTTAAAACTGCTGTCTAGCAAAACTTCTGGGCAACCTAACGTGCCCTTGTTGTGATTGAATGACCTGCTCTATAAGGAACATGTCATCTCCTTTTGCAACAGTCTTTTGTGAAAGATTTTACACTACGTTTTGGAGACCTGATTGAGTGCATTGCAACCTTTCATACAGAAAAGACAGAACATAAATGTGAATCTTTTTATATGTCTGCAATTTACATCTTACCTGGCACAATAACCGGTAATCCAAAAAAAAAAAAAAAGTTGTTTTAAATATTAAGAAGGAAAAGTTTGCTCCATCCTGCCTGCAGATCTTTTAATAAGCTATGACCTTAGATGCTAGGCCATTAAGTTGCTTCATAACCAGACCTCTTAATGCATTATGCTGCCATAAGCCTTCACAGCAGGGATATCACCATTGGCTCAAAAAAGTGAGTCTGCTTGCATACCTGCATTAGCCATTGCTGTAAATTAGCTATGGGTCTAGACAAATCTTTGTTCTGACCTCACAGGCATTCCAGTGTGAAACTTTAGTAAAAAAATACATATATTTTTCAGAACTTTCCTTCAGCAGTGGTCTGTGCTAACATATCTACACTGACACTGTACTATGTCTCTTGGAAACTTGCTCACAAAACTTATCTGCAGGAGAAAGGTCTTTAGACACTGCTAATAATCAAATGGGGCATTGGTTCTCTGGTGTGATCTAGTAGACCCAGCCTCTCAGATGGAGGAGCAGGGAGGACAGCTGTGAACAAATACCATTTTCTTTTCTCTAAGAAATCTCTCCTGCTGTGGAGCAATGTGAAAAACTTCCTGCTGCCTTCTGGGACTTTCAACCTCTGTGTTTATTTCTCTCCATTTGCTCATTGAGAGAAACCTTCTTCTTAGCAGGACATACATAAGAGATAATCAGGTTAGGAATGTTGGGTTTGGTCAGAAATGACACTTGTCAGTGAATTCCAGAATATGATTGATCATCTGTTGTGCTTCTGCTTTCATTTAATCTGGCTGGTTCTTCTAAAAGATACCCTTTTACCTGGCGCCTTTTTTTTTTTTAATTATTTTTTCAAATAATGCTCAGAGCTGGCAATTATTCCTGATCATCTAACTGGAATGGTGGAACATGCAAACACAAAGTCAATTCATCTATGCTGCTCGCATTTATAAGGAGAACAATTACGTTTTTTCACACGAAGAGAGCTCTTTTGAGGGTGTGAGTTGGTCTCACACACAAAGATTAATTTCACCTCCGTCACTACAGCAGAGGCAATGTCAGTGTAATGCGTGCAATGGACAGTGGCATGCCTTTTTTTATTTTCTTTCAATTATATGTTTATAGATGTGCATGAGTCTACTTTGGTGTCAACTGCCTGCCAAGGCTTTGAGGCCACAAACATGTTCTTTTATGCATGTGACTAATTTGAGCATCATGGCCTAAGCTTGTACTTTTGTTAACTGCTGAAATGGAATTTGGAAGGGGGAAGGAAAGTCCAGCAGTGTCACTAAAGAACCAAAACAAATTGGGACAGAGCAAAAATACTCTTTAAATAAGTGTTTTCTCTCTTACTCAGGTAAACAGAATGCACTGATAATGGGTAAAAAAACCTGGTTCTCCATTCCTGAGAAGAATCGTCCATTAAAAGACAGAATTAATATAGTGCTCAGCCGGGAGCTCAAGTATGTATGATCAGTAATAGGCCTGTAAAACAAATAACAAGCCTGCACCTAAAGATATGTGTAGCATTATATCCTAAAATAATTCCAAATGTAACATACCTGGTTAGGAAACATTTCTGCTGTTGGTTCTGAGTGATAGCACTACTTTACCTTTAATTGTTTTAATCGTTATTTTTATTTCTTTTATTTTTTAATTAATTCACAAGATAATTGTCATTACCTTGGATCATAAGTGTTAGTTTTAGCTCCACGAACAAACCATCTGGCAATTGGCAGGAGTCTTCCTGACTCATGTATTTAACTGTATTTTTGTAGTTCCTAGTTAGATTGGTGGCTCTTACTCCCTTTTTTGAGTTTTTTTTTTAATTAGCATTTAAGGGAAAATAACTGTCCCTTTTCAGAGCTCTTTTCTCAAATACATCACCCACAGTCATCGAAATACTCTTAAAGAAAAATGTCCACTTATCGTGGTTTTTGGCTTTTTAGGATGTTGGTGGATTTTCTGCTGAATATGGGGACATAGGTAATAGGGACTTTTTTACTAGGGTTATTGAATGAAATGTATATTTCATTTTATAGATACTTAAGTTTCTTGGTTATGCTTTTTAAAAAAGATGATAAAAAAATTCAGACCTGTAATTTATAATGCCTTTTAAGTCACAGTGATGATTAAACTGTGATTTATTAAACACTTCTGCAGTCAGGTGTGAATTCTAACATAGTTTAGCAATAATTGGCATTTCAAAATAATTAATAACATGAAACATTTAGTCATTTGTGAATTCGGCAACACACACTGTTTGTCTAGATTGTATTGATTATCATGAGGAATGGTCCTTTAATTATTTGGTAATAAAACTTTTTGTTTTTTCTAGGGAACCACCAAAAGGAGCACATTATCTTTCCAAAAGTCTGGATGATGCTTTAGCTCTTTTGGATTCTCCAGAGCTGAAAAGTAAAGTAGACATGGTTTGGATTGTTGGAGGCACTTCTGTTTACAAGGTACATTTAGAGTACTCCTAAATTACTCATTTTCTGCCATGGGATGAGCATGGCTCAAGTTCCTGTTAATTCTGCTTTAAAAAATGCTTTTCTTTCATGTGAGGCAGCAAACTCCAGCGATTACAACAGAGTAAGTCTTGGAGAGTAAAATTTCAACTGACAAGTTTATAATCTGTCAAAGTAACCCAGTGTTGCACTTGCCAATGGTCTGGTGTCATACAGTCATTACGCTTTGGAGAGTTTTTCTTAAATCTCTATAAATTGTTAGGTTTTTACAGCAAGACACACATTGTTATACTTTGCTGAGGTAGTAGGCTGATTCTGCAGAGGATGTGGGGAAAAAAGGAAAAACGACCCAGCATTTTTAGCCAGAATATGCCACTTTATACAGGTATCCAGGTAAGAAAAGAGGATTTAGAGAAAGCTGGCGGGTGATGGTGTCAGTAATAAGAGGAGATAATCATATGACAGATGACATACAACAGAACTGACTCCGCTTTCCTGTCCAGCAACCAGGAGTCCTCACTGTTGCCACTCCCCAGGTTTCTCTTGGTGTCTGGGGTGTCTTGGTATCCAGGTGTCAGTTTGTGTACCAGAAAAGCAGCGTGTGCCACTTTCTTCTCAGGACCATCTTTGCACAGACAAAGCCCTGTATAAACAGCCCTGTTTTCCCACAAATGCAATAGTCCTCCTGTCCTTAACTAAGATACTCACCATGCAACATGAAGGTCTGCAAAAACCCATCGTCTTGTTGCGCTGTGTTTCCTCAGCTATTTTCCGTCCTTCCTCCAAACCTTTCCTCTCATTTTCCATGTATACACACTTAAAGTTTATTCAGCTCTCCGTTGCTCTACCCACATCCCTGGAGTTGTCCTTTCAGCCCCTACACAGTCAGAGTTCTGCCCTTTAACTCCCAATTAATTTTGTCTTCTTTTGTTAAGTTCTCATATAATTTACACTTACTGTCACAGAGTACCACACAAAAGATTATGGCCATCAGCCCTCGTTCTTTTCATATCAATCAGGAGAATATGGAATAAGGACAGCTATAAGCAGTCTTTCTTCTGATAAAAAAAAAGAAATTAAGAATTGTAACCGTATTTTTTTGTTTCATATAGTAGAGGAAAGAACGTTCTGCTCTCCTGTAGTCATTACAAGTACGCTGGAAATACACTCCAGTTTTTGTTTGGCACTTTGACTTCAGGTGTGATGAAAATGCCATTGTGCTCCTGGTAGAAAATTAGGGCTGATAATACACTTTGTATACGGGGTGGGAAAATATGTATTCTGATATTTCTTGCCTTTGCAGTTTGTGTGTTTAATGACCCTTTTCTCTGTGTCTTTTACAGTGAAAAAAGTGATGTAGAAAGTAGGTAGATATTGCTAAGGTTGTAAGAAAAATAAGGTGGATATGCAAATAGCCTGTAAAACACGTGTTCCTCTCCTTTTTTTTTTTTTTTTAAATTTATGTTTTATAATCACTTTTGCATGTGGTTAAGTCCACGATATATTTGGTAGAAAATGTATTTGGCCTACGGTGAGGCGTTATGATGTAGAGGTAACCCGTTTTTCACTCTCAGCCATTACAATGCCTACTTCTGGGCAGTAAGTAGCAAGGTTGTTTCTGGAGACAGATTCTCTCCAGATAGATAGTGCATAACGGCCCAACATGAGCGGGAGACATGAGAAGGAGCTTCTGCCCATAGTTCTGCAGGGTACGTAGTATGAGCAGAAGCACTTACCCTGTCGGTGCAATGGCCACACACTCAGCTAGTGCTGCAAAGAGCCATTATTTTTACTTGTTCTACCAGGAGTGTCTGTGCTGTAGACTTCTATTTTTACTATTTTTCCAGTGTCTGGCTGATAATTTGTACAGAACTATGCCATTTTTAGACTATTACTCTCCAATATTAGATTATAAACGGGCAGTTTTCATCAAGGCTGCTTTTTGCAACACGTTGCTTGTGCTGATCAGCATAAGGGAGTATGTCTTAAACTCTCAAATGGTTTCAAACATGTACTCAGGACATTTCAAAGGAATTTGTAGTTCATTAGGGAGAAATCTGACCGTATGGCTTACCCTTATCCAGAGAGTTGTGCCGAGGTGGAGCATCCACCCAGGGGCTTGAGTGCAGAAGGGCACTCCTTGGGATGCAGGTCTTCAGCCTGTCTCTCTTCCTGGTAGGTTGCTCAGAGAAATTGTGGATGCCCCATCCCTGGAGGCATTCAAGACCAGGCTGGATGGGGCTTTGAGCAACCTGGTCTAGTGGGAGGTGTCCCTGCCCATGGCAGGGGTCTTGGAACTTGATGTTTTAAGGTCCCTTCCAACCAGAAGAGTTCTGTGATTCCATCTCAAGTAGGGGTGGTTGTTGTACCCTGCCCAGCCTCCAAGAACTGTAGCAAGCAAAGGTGCTGGAGCACCAGGGTGGTGGTTCAGGATGGATTCTGCCCTCAGCAACAGAGAGGCAAGGGATGGGGTGGAGGTAAGAGGCTGCTGCTGTTTACAGCAGAGCTTATGGCTCTCTTGCCCACCTCCCCTAAGTTCTCAAGGACACAGTTCTCTCCAGGGTGGTGGGAGTATTGGCATAAGCTCATTTCTGCCTGAAGTCCTGTGAAGGACAGAGGAAAGTGAGCTCTGAACAAGGTGGCCATCCAAGTCTTCATGTAGGTTGCATTCACGCTGTGTTCAGCCGCATGCTTGGGGGAAACTTCATCTCAGCCTTGACCTGTGCAACAGGAGAAGGCAGAGCAGCTGGGCATGGTAGGCATTTTGCTGGGGAAGGGAGAGCGACACAGAGTATTGGTATTAGGAAGTGAGAGCAGAAAAGATCAGAAACAGCTCACACAGTCCACTGAGGGTTGGAATACCTTGTGCAGCCTTCACCATCTTAAATTTGACTTGACACCAATCACTGCATCAGGTTTGTAATCTGATACAGGCACGAGGTAGTACTGTTGCCTCCAGAGAAGCTTTTGGACTTCTCACAGCACGGGTTTACAAGTTTCATTTCTTTGGATGTCAGTGTGATGCCGAACTGGATCTTCTGCACTTTTCTAGATCTCCTGAGTTCCAGAAGGAGTTGGTGTTGATTGTCTGGAAGAGAAAAGAGGAGCGTAGCAGCCCAGTAGGTCACAGCTATTACGAAGCCGTTATGCGTCATGAGAGGCACTCCATGATTTTGCGTGAGCACTTGATGCTTTGAGAGCCGTCTGCTGGCTCCCGAGTGCTTCTTGTTTGCTGGAAAACTTGTAGTGGTGACTCATGCATTGGTTCTGGTCCCTGAGTTTCCATTAGCTGTTGGACCTCATCAGACGTGTTACTGGAGTGGGTTCTCTAGCTTGGTTTCGTCCCCAAGAAATTTAATTGATGCACACCAAGATTGGTCCCCAGTAGAAATAAAGCATGAGTGGGGGCAACTGGAAGATTAATTTCAAAACCACATCTCTGTTCTGAGTTAATGTAGATGAACTCTGTGTGGAGGTATTGTCTCTTAATTAATTGAGAGGTTCAGGTCTTGGCTTTGACTCTGAAAAATGGCACTACCTGGAGATCCTAAGGGAGTCTACTCAGTATAAATTACATGAGTCTCTTTCAACTGGATTTTAAACTGGGTGCTTAATTAAAAACAACATTCAGATTTTACTAGGAATAAGAACTGTAAGCCCAGCACATCCCCAAATATTAAACAGGGACATTAAAAAAAACAAACAAACCAACCAAAACCAGATGTAGATTTACACATGTGGATGGTATGGCCTTATATCTTGTTTGTTGAGTGTTTAATATGAATCTTGCTTTGTAAAAATAACCAAGCACAAATCTGTAACAGTGAACCTACCAGTGGAAAAAAAAAACAAACCACTCAACCAAAAACCTCAAAAGACCTAGCAACAAAACTTTAAAAAAAAAATGAAAAATTTATGACTCAGGTCCTCATAACCAAGGCCTCTTTAGTAACACCAAAACAGACTATATGTCAAACAGTTTTTCACCTTGATAAAACAGTTTTTCCTACAGCATCTTGAACATTTAAAATTGTCTCTTCTAATTTATATGTTCCTACTCGGCTTGTTGCTTTCTCAATGCCACAGAAGCAAACAATGACACTCAAGGTCACATTGCTTAAGTACAGAATTGTATTCATGTATTAAATTTGGAGAAGAAACTTGTAGTTTTGTAACAGAACAAAAAGTTCTTTCATAAGAAGTTCTGTTGGTTTTGCTCTTTACTTAATATCTAGGCTGGCCGTAACAGAAAATAGATGCTGGTGATAAATAGTGTTTGGGGAAATTCTTCAGCGAAGAGGCTTGAGCTGGAAAATTAAACTTCCAGTAATCTCCAAGGGAAAATTTTATCTAATATTCATACTCAGGTGTCTTCCTATGTATTAGTATTTGACATATTGTGTTTGGTAATCTACCCCCTTTCATTCTTCAAGATTATTGAATTATGAAGTTGCTATTCATGTTTAGTGCGGCAAGTCTCTTGCAGCTAGCTGATTAATTACCCTCTTAAATAGAGTTCCTTGACTAAGCATATAAGCTTCACTGGGTTCTGAATGCCCTGAGTGGGTTGTGAGTGCCACATTTGCTAAGCTTCAAATCTTTGCTGTACCATAAGTATCACTTCTTTAAAAAAAAGTATTAACAATTTGAGTCACTGGTTTTATTGTGATTTTTTTCAAGCGTGCCAAAACTTTACTAACTAATACTAATATACTAAAATTTGGCTTTCAAAGATTATATTTTAGTATGTCTGAATTCCCTGTAAACTATAAAAGAAATAATAGTAATTTTTCTACCTTCCCTGCATATAAGACAAAGTGATTTTGAGCTGCAGCTGCTGGAATGGTTTTAAGCTGCCTACCTATTGCAATATTGACACGTATGTTACTGTGTTTTTGAAGTGTTGTGTCTGAGGTGTGACTGAGATCCACCTGCAAGGGAGACAGCTCCTTTTTCCACCCCTGTGGGCTCTGCTCTTGCAGGTCCCAGTGCTG